TATTATTATTATTATTAATAATATATTATTATTAATTATATTATTATTATTATTATTAAAGATATTATTATTATTAAAGATATTATTATTCATTATTAAAGATATTATTATTATTATTATTATTATTATTATTATTAAAGATATTATTATTATTATTATTATTATTATTATTATTATTAAAGATATTATTATTATTATTATTATTATTATTATTATTATTAAAGATATTATTATTATTATTATTATTATTATTATTATTAAATTATTATTATTATTATTATTATTATTATTATTAAGATTATTATTATTTATTATTATAATTATTATTATTATTATTATTATTATTATTATTATTATTATTATTATTAAAGATATTATTATTATTATTATTATTATTATTATTATTATTATTATTAAAGATATTATATATTTTATTTTATTAAAAAAAAAAGTAATAGAAAGAAGAGGGACAACAGCACTAACATGAAGTAGAAGAGGAAATAAGTGGCAGTACGTGATTCTTCAAACGTGCTTTTTTTTTCAAACGTGATTCTCTCAGAAGGCCACCAACTCGAAATGCTTTTTCCCAAACGTGATTTTGCAGCCGGGACAACTTCTTCGGCTAACCTAAACGCGAATCGTAATATCACTGCATCGATTCAGTTGCGTTTGGTTTTGGTTCATAACTTCTTCGATTCAGACTGCTTATGGCTTGGTGATTTTTACGGTAAGCTTCACGGTTCATGTTGATTACGGTTTCAATTTGTTTCTCTGGTTTTTTATTTCGGTATTGATTCTAAATTAAGTTAACACTAGCATACAACATTATGAAGCTAAATGGATTAATGTTTACGTGTAAAAAAATATAAAAAATACAGCTTTTGGTCTTGCCCGCAAGGTGTTTGATAAAAAGCCTCAACCGTATCTCTTGATTCATTTTGCCTCAATTCTTTCACTTCATGATGCTGAGTTGTTGTACTTCTGGTATTGTTGATTGATAATCATTTGTGGTGTGTGGAATTAGCAAAGAATTGTTGCCATTACTACCGTTTTGCAATCGTGCATCACGTGTTATACAAAATGTTTCAACCGGTTTCTTTACTCTTTTCGCTTCTATTTTGATGTGCATTGTGATGCTGAATTTTCTGTTATTGTTGTTGATTGTTGTTGAACTCTTGAATTGCTATTTGATTCTTGAATTTGTTGTTTTGATCTTTTTCTATTTCAGTTGAGTAATTTATCTTCAATGGAAGGTGTTCTTTAGTGTAAGCCACATTTTGACTAACTCTTCAAGGATCATCGACAACAATTTCTAATCACGTATGTCTTCTCATTCCTTCATGTATAATAAAGCTAATTTTGTTATTTTTTTTCCCAATCAAATGCCTCTTTAATTGACAATCACTGCAAAATTAATTTTGTTATTTTTTCCCAATCAAATGCCTCTTTAAATGACAATTATTCCTTGAAGCAACATTGGAGTATGGTTTAGCACCCATGTCTTGACTGATTACTTGTATTTGTCAGTGGGTAGCACTTTATCTAACGCTGGCATTAGTGGATTAAACCTTTAATCATGGTCCTAAATTCTCCAATGTTTTTGACTTGATGTTATTACTGGTTAGTAATAATTTCTTAGTTCCTAGTAATAGTAACATTAACCTGCATATTTAGTATTAGTATTGTTCTTTTATAGGTGTGTGTAGGAAGGAGGAGGTGAAGAGTTGATGTGTAAAGAAGATCTTAACTCAGACTTGTTCCATGCTGTTCTTAGTGATCTTGGATATTTTGGAACCATCACAAGAGCTATAATTGCTCTTCAACCAGCTCCACAAAGAGTATGCATACTCTCTCTACGTACTTCATGATTTCATTAGATTTTTTATATAATGAATTTTATATATTAAACATACAGGTTCGTTGGGTACAAGTGTTTTACTCAAATTTTTCAACCTTTAGTAAGGACCAAGAGTTTCTGATCTCTCTGCATGGGAAACCAGTGAGCCAGAGATTCGATTATGTTAGAGGTTTTGTGATAGCGGATGAAGGACTTTTTAATAATTGAAGGTCTTCATTATTTTCGTCAAGTAATCCTTTTAAAATCAGTTCCATTAATGCTGATGGAGGTGTTTTGTACTGTTTGGAGAATACCAAAAATTAACACCAAGCAAATGTTGATTCTGCTGATGAGGTATACACACACCATAATACTAAAACATATGTAGATTCCCTTGTTTGATTGTTTGATATTGTATTTGCATTAGTTACAACAAAAACAAGTTTAAAGATTTTTATTGTGTGGACGTGATTATATGGTGCAGGGAGGGGAATAGAAGCACTATTGAAAAAGTTTAATTTTTTAGAAACATTGTTCACAACCGACATGGTTTATGTGGATTTTCTGGTTCATGTACATAAGGCATAATTCAAACTTAAATACAAGGGTTTCGGTAAGGGGGTGTTCAAGGGCATTTTGGGAAATAAGACAAATGGGCCTACCAGGTAGCTATATGACTCCAGGAATAAGACATGCACTTGTTATGCTTAATGCGAAGTTTATGTTTAACAAGTGAATTTTTAGATTTTACAATGTACTAACAACAACGAATAAAAATCAAGAGCTTTTCCAAGACACTATTTCACTCCATCAAATTTGCCACTTCCTCAACTCAAACAAGTACCGTCCTAGCTTCAAATACATTATTACCTTAAAATTGTAGCTTTCCTTCGCGAGATAAATGAAGTTCAGAAAGCTGATGTCAAAGGAGAAGTAGACGGAATACAGACTTCACGGATTACATCTGAAGCGAATCGAGAGTATATATTCTCGTCATCTTTTTCTGGTGACAAAAAGTAAGTATTGTTATTCACGTCAGTCTTTCCCAATCCCAATTGATATCTTTCCAGTTTGACGCTGGTGTTTAGATGGAAGAGGAGCAATATTGTTGGTTGTTGTCAGTTCCTTATAACAATATTCTTTTTTTCCATTTTTTTTCCAGAATATTTGAAAAGTCAATGTAGCATGTAAAACTTTTCAGTAGCTATAAAAATCCTGATATTGTTAGGCAAGTTCGAGAGTATTTTGCATTGTACGGTATTTAATTGAGTCTAAATTATAATGTATCGATCTTTAAAGATAAATTGTGGATTTGCATTAGTTAATAGATTTGATAATTCAATATATTTTAATAATATTATTATATAAATTTATTGATTACAAAATCAAATTAAAAAAATTAAAAAATAATAAAAGCTTTTAGTGACAGCAAAACTTTTAGTAGAAGTAAAATATTTTTTATTCTATTTTACATGTTTTACCTACGGAAAAATCCATAAGAAAAACCGTTGCAAGTCGGCAATTCGTTGGTTAAAATTAATTGGTGTTTTACCTACGGAATTTAGGCTTTTAATGACAACTTTTGTCTGTTATTACAAGTCTATTTTTTGCGGTGTTTGTTTAAATAGTTATTCTTAAAATGTTATTTTAGGTATTTCATCATTTTATTAAAAAAATTTAGATATCAAAATTTAAAAAAAAAATTACTTAATTTTGAAACTATTTCTAATAGATTTTCATAAAAATCATTTTTAAAATATAATTTTTTTTTTAAATTATAATTATAATTATGTTTTGATATTCAATAATATATATTTATATTATAGGATGTCAAAATTATTATTTCAATTTAGATAAAAGACAAATATAAAAACTTATAATATTTTAAAAATTAATTTTATAAAATCTATTTTTAAAATATAAAAAAAAAATCATTTTTTTTAAAGCCGAAACAAACACATTCGAAACCTTAATAAAGTAGCGAATCCCTTTAACAAACCAACAATTTAAAACTCTGTTTACAATACATCAATCGTCCTATAAGTTTCAATTGGATTTTTATTTTGTTTTACCTTTATTTAATTTATCAAATATAATATTTCTCTTTCTGAGGTTTAAATTTTCCGTTTTTATATTGAAGGGTTAGGGATTTGTTGGGAAAAAAAGATTGATGAGTTGTTCAATATCAATCTAGTCATCTATTAAAAGATCTTGTAAATATGGAATTTTACAACAAACCTCGATGAAAATTTGTCAAAAATTTCGCAAATATGTTTTATAAATGAAAATATGGTTTTGCATATTTAAACTTGTGAAACCTAAAAAAAAACAAAAATGGGTGAAAATGAATAGGTTGGTGGAATGAACACAAAAAGATGAATAATTGTAACAAATTGGTGAAGATGTGATTCATGGCAAGAACAATAATTATTAATATACCAGTATTTTACCTTCTTTAGAACAATATTGTTAGTGTTAGGATCTGTAGCTTTGGTATTTAGGCCTTACTCTTTGTGAGCCCATTTGTTCTTTGTAATACCAGTCCTATATAATATGGACTTGGGTTTCTTTTACATAATGAGAAACAATTTTATTTCAGTAAGTTTCTTTCTTTTAGGTCCAATATGACATTAAGCTACGGTAATATGGTATCAGAGAAAACCTAGAGTATCTATGTTAGAATAAGATTTGATTCTGTAATATTATCTGAGTTTTGATGATAACAAATGAGTATTTTTGAATGAACAATTTTGATACTCTAATGTTTGTTATTTTTGAGTATCTAATAAACAGGTTATGTTTCTGATGAATGGCGTGGCCAAGATATTAGAAGAGAATAAGTTCAGTTTCTACGCTACACAAGTTCTGATGAACAGTAGCAAAATACTCCAGAATGCTCTAAAGTGTAGGCTCTGATATGAAGTCTAAAGAAACCAGTCATAAGATCTGAAGACAGAAGTTTCTACTGAAGTCCAGATGTTGAAGACTCATGTTTTTGAAGACAAAGGATTCTCAAGACCAAGTGTTGAAGACTCTGAAGACGTTGTTCTGAAGACTTGAAGTTCTGGAGACCCAAGGTTCTAGAAAAGGTTCTCAAGACCAAGTGTTAAAGACTCTGAAGACGCAGTTCTGAAGACTCTGAAGACTTGAAGTTTTGATGACCTTGTGTTATGTTCTCTCTTCTAAGCTCGTACTCGCAGAAGCCTCTGAAGTACAGAAGAAAAGAAGATAATGTTAATATGGTACAATAGTACATGGTACAATCAAAAACATTTTATCTCACTACCATGAAGGACGAACGCGTCGCACGATCTTGTCCACCACGTGATTCAAGCCGCCAAAGTTTATGGAAATCTCAAGAGTACCCGTCAACAAATATATTATTTTATTGGCTATATAAAGGTTTGAAGACTATGAGAGAAAGTTGTTAATTCATTGTTCATATACGCATTAAGCATGTTGTTCATAGCTTTCATATTTCTCTAGTCTTTGTTCTTAAAATCAGTTTACTATTCATCTTGTGTAGAAGCATTTTATTGTAAACAGTTTTTTTCTCAAACAATTGTTCGATTGTTTCTTGAGAGACCAGTTTGGTAAGATTTTTTGAGAAGTCTAAGACTTATGTGTCTTAGAGATTGTATTATTAATCACATACAGTTGGTGTGTGCAAGTGTAATAATATATTTGATTATTGGATTAAGATCTCGTTGGAGAGAGGCGAAATCACCTTGGCGGGTGGACTAGACTAGTATGATAGTTTTCCAGTGAACTAGTATACACATTGTTGTTCTTTACATATTGCGTCTTATCACTATTATCACTAAGTGAAATTATTTATTTCTAAGCGAAAAGGGATTTTAAAAGAAAAGTTTTAAGTTAAAAACTCAATTCACCCCCCCCCCCTTTCTTGTGTTTTTCACACATTCAGTTGGTATCAGTGTTTGGTTCTGAGGAGTTGATAAAAAAATTGAATTTTTATCAAGCACCTAATAATGTTCAGTAGCGATCCAGATAGTGTGAAAAATAATGGAAGATAAAGGTAACAATGCTCCTGTAATTGGTGATAATAGGGATAACGATAGAGATCATTATAGTGAATATCCGCCTATGTTTAATGGTGAAAATTTTGATTACTGGAAAGACAAAATTGAAAGCTACTTTCTGGCTTATGACTTGGATCTATGAGATTTGGTAGTTGATGGCTATACTCACCCAGTAGATGATAAAGGTCTAAAAATTTACAGAAGCGCAATGACAGACGCTCAGAAGAAGGTTCACATAAATCATTACAAAGTGAGAATTATACCTCTAAGTGCTATTTCGTATAATGAGCATGAGAATATCACAGATAGAGAGATTGCAAAGTCTATCTTTGATTCTCTTCAGATGACTCATGAAGGAAATACTCAAGTAAAGGAGACAAAGGCTCTGGCTTAATTCAAAAATATGAAGCCTTCAAAATGGAAGATGATGAATCTGTGGAAACGATGTTTTCAAGATTTCAGACTCTTGTTGCAGGACTCAAAGTTCTGAATAAAGTTTGCTCTACTACAAATCATGTTAAGATTATTATCAGAAGTCTACCTGTCAAATGGAGACCCATGGTAACTGCTTTAATATTGGCAAAGGATCTGAACAAAACGAGTCTTAAGGAATTGATCAGTTCTTTAAGAAGTCATGAGATAGAACTTGAGGAAGATGAACCTCAGAAAAAAGTCAAATTTGTGGCTTTAAAGTCTAAGTCTAGAAAGACAATGGATTTCCAAGCTAAAGAAGAATCAAGTGGGTCTGAAGCAGATTCATATGAAGATGGAATCTCTTTGATATCCATAAGGATCAATCAAATATGGAAACACAAACAAAGCAAGTTCAGAGGACAAAGAAGAATGAATGGAAGAGGTGAATCTACTTCTGGTCAGAATAAAGCTTCTGGAAAAGAACTTATCTGTTATGAATGCAAGGAGCCTGGACATTATAAGAATGAATTCCCAAAGCTCAAGAAATACAAGAAACCTAAGAAGGTATACAAGGCTAACAAAGGTCTCATGGAAACATGGAATGATTCAGAGTCGGAAGAAGAAGACTCTGATGAAGAACATGCCTACGTAGCATTCACGGCAAAGACTAGCACGAGTGAAGCTGCATCATAAGATGAACTGGCACTTGATGATGAGTCAGACTCTGATGAAGACCAAGAGGTACTTTCTTCCTTATCTCGTTCTGAACTT